GGCTGTTTAAACTGCCCCCAAGAGAACAAACACGTTATTTCCAGGCCCTTCCTTCCACATCTCCGCTCTGATGACCCTGAAGCCCACCCATGAATGCTGGTGTCCATTAAACCTGGGCTTTTTCTAATTTGGTTTGATTTGGTCTGATTTGGATTATTGTGTCAGCCCAGGGGTGTAAAAACCTTTCAGTCACCACAATGTGAGGAACTGAATTAAAGGGTCGCAGCAGAGGAAGGGCAGAAGCTGCTGCTCTTACCCACTTAGTTTCATTTCGACTGTGACAGAAAGAAACTTAGCACAGGAAGCTTTATTTTAGGCTACACTTCTGGGTTCCCACTTCTCAGAGCTGGGAGTTAAGTTCTGTACTACAGATGTGGGACATTCCCTAGGTATGGAGCCCAGAACTATACACACAGAAGTGAAGGAACTGAGGCGAGCACCAGCTAGTCCATAAGCACGCGCATGTTCATTTCTCTCTGTTCCCGTTGCCCCGTTTCCCGGCTGTGATAGGCTATTAACTCTTAGGGGAAAGGGTGGCATTGTGTTTGGATGATCATAGTTTCTGTTTCCACGCAGAATCAGAGGTACAGTTCAGATCTTTGGACCCCCAAATCCTGCAACGATGTCGATGAATGAAGAGAATTAGTTAAGTCTTTAGTCCAAGCACTCAGGAGGCAGGGACAGGCAGATCTCTGAGTTTGACGCTAGCATGGTCTACAGAGCAAGTTCCAGGATAGCCAGGGCAACACAGAGAAAGCCCGTCTCAAAAAAACCAATAGAGAGAAGGAGAGGGAGAGACGGAGAGGGAGAGAGAGGTTAAATAAAAGTGGTTTTATAAAAATCTCCAAATCACTGAAGGAGACAACTTTCTATTAGTGGATGTAAACAAACCCCTCCCACCTCTACCCTCCTCCCTGTATTTGGAATTTCAAATTTTAAGGAGGGGCAACTGTGCTGTTTCTCATTTTTTGAAAATCAGGGTATTGCCAAGGAAACAGGAGGTGTGGTCCAGGACTGATCATGAGAGTGGGACTATCCTCAGGGCCTTGTGGCAGGCTATCGGCGCTGCTGTGGGTTCACGCGGGTCTGTGGCAGATTATCATCGGTGAGGATGTGGGTTCATATGGGTCTGTTAAAGAAAGCTCAGAGACACTTTGAGAATGAACTTAGCCTTTTGTGGCTGCAGGGGATCTCCAGCCTTGATGGACTGAAGCACCTTCCCCTCATCCAAGAGCATTTTAATTTTTTTTTCATATTTACCGTTATGCCAAGCGCAAAGTCTCGATAAAAAGGGATACCACAGTTTTCAGGGTTTCCCTCCCGACCAAGTTTTGCATAGGCTTTGTATCCTTGGGAAACTCTCAGACAAGATTTACATAGGGTGACAAAGGGATCTGTAAAAAGGAACTCCTGCTAATTCTGGAGCTAGGCCAGATGCTGTCCAGCGGGGCTTAGGGCTAGTTTCTATCTCTTGGGCCCCAGGCCAGCAGGAATTCAGCTACAGGGACTTCTCCAGCTAAATATCCTTCTAATCTTTAAGTTGGGGGGATGGAGAGAGGTGAGGGGTTGAGACAAATAGAGGAACTGAGTTGAGTCCGGCACAACACCAGTTAGCGGCTTTGCTCTTGTCACACAAGTGGCCGTCCTTAGGTCTCTGGTTTTTGCGGGGTGGGGTGGAGGGCGTTGCATTCTGAGGAAGTGCAATTAATTAACAGTGAACCCTTACTTAACCGCTACTACGTGACTGAGGGAGGCGCGTGACTTTGGCTACTTCACAGAGGAATGCCCTGGGTTAATGTTTGAGCTGTGCCGGGTGACTCAGTCTGGTGGCTCGCTGAGCTGGGTGGCAGGAAGAGGAGGGCTGGGTGTGTGTTCTCCTGTAGCCCACTCTGCTGAACACCTGGCTTCTGACACACAAGCCTGATCACATCTGGTACCCCTAACTCTGGGTGGAACCCCAAAGGAAGATTACAGAAGCGCACTGTTGTCCTTTCCCTGAAGAGCTAATCTAAACGGGCCTGTCAATCATCTGGACCAAAGTCCACCACTAAGGAAAGCGGGCTACTCAGCAGAGATACTGGGTGGAATGGAGGACTTATTAGAACCCCTAGTATAAGCTGGGCGGTGGTGGCACACGCCTTTAATCCCAGCACTTGGGAGGCAGAGGCAGGTGGACCTCTGTGAGTTTGAGGCCAGCTTGGCTTCGTCTACAAAGTAAACTATAGAACAGCCAAGATCTTATACAGAGAAACCCTAACTCAAAAAACCAAAGCTAAGAAAGAAAAGAAAAAGAACCCCTAATTTAAGACTGCTAGAGAAAGAGTGGGGGGCGCTGTAGCTATATGTCCTTTTCCTCCAAAGAGAAGGTGATAGTCCCATTGCCATCTCCGAGCCTCTTGCCCCAGTAATGAGCCTCATTGCTCCACAGCAATGGAGTCGGAAGAGCAAAAACAGTGACAGGTCTGTGATAATGAGCTCCAGGTACCCCGAGCAGAAGGAGGAAGTACCCTCACCTGGGGTTCTGGTCATTACTCCCTCCTGTTCTCCTCCAGCTACGAGGGGTCTCAGAAGATATTAGAATACAGAGGTCGTGGAAGATTGCATGAAAGAGGGACTCCATGACACTGGTGTCATGATGGTATGAGATGTCGTGGAGAGGCAACCGCCTGGGTAATCTGTCCCTTTAAGAGAAAAGCTCTGGGGCTGGAGACATGGCTCAGAGGTTAAGAGCATTGCCTGCTCTTCCACAGGTCCTGAGTTCAATTCCCAGCAACCACATGGTGGCTCACAAGCCCTCTTCTGGCCTGCAGGCATACACACAGACAGAATATTGTATACAAAATAAATAAATAAATAAATAAATAAATAAATAAGAGAAAAGCTCCACCCACTCCTAACCTCCGCACCCCCCCTTCTCTCTGCCCTTCTTCTGGAGAGGTAGCTTCTGCCTCTCTCTTTCCTCCCTTTCTCCTCTTCTCTTCCCCTTCTGTTCCCCCTCCATAACCCACTAAATAAATTCTATATCCAAACTCTCTCTGCATGGCGTATCTATATGTTTGTCTCCTGCTGAGGCCTCAGGTGACCCACTGCCACCCCTCGTGGGACCGGTCCCCTACTACCTCTTTATAAACAATAACTGTTTTCTTTTTTTTTCTTTTTTGGTTTTTTGAGACAGGGTTTCTCTGTGATTTTGGAGCCTGTCCTGGAACTAGCTCTTGTAGACCAGGCTGGTCTCGAACTCACAGAGATCCGCCTGCCTCTGCCTCCCGAGTGCTGGGATTAAACAATAACTGTTTTCTGTGTTTCTCTCAGTGACCTGACCTCACCCATGCTACGTAACTAAACCCCAGAAACACACTGGTTCACCAAGATAAAATTGGGTGGAATGGTACCTAGGGTCTGTCATTGATGCCCTATGTCTGCTCACATTTTCCCATGGAATATGTTAAGCGAACAGGTGCTTGCCGGCTGCTGCTCTTGGCATCGCCTGCACTTGGTTCTGCATGAGCCAATGCCTGGGGCAGTGTGCCAAGGTGTCACATAGAAAGCTTTTCCTGATTTCTTTCTTCCTCCCACCACTGTTCTGGGGTGCGGAGGGGTGAAGTGGTGCTGGTGGTGAACTGGTCTGCTTGCCTCATAGATTGCAGAGTGACAGGGAGGGGCTGTTCTTGGTGTTAAGGTGGAGAGCTGTGTGTTGATTAGACAAACCTGGGCCCTGGAGTTAGAGGAACACAGGTGGCCCCAGTCAGAAACAATTGATGGTCCTTCCTAGAAAGAGAGAGACTCCTATTTCTGCCCTGCAGCTTCCATCGGGAGAATCTACCACCGTTCTCTGAGCCTCTGGCTTCCTTCCCTTTGGAGACTGGCCTTCTTCAGTGAATGGGCTTCATTTTACTGCTTCTGGGTTCCTCTTTGGGACTTGGTTGGCCTCTGGCCTCTGAGTACACCCGTTCTTTTGCTGTTGTGTTGTCTTGGGATGATCTTCCAGTTCAGCTCTCTTTCTGGGTCCAGCCTTCCTGATCTCATCTCTGTCACCTGCAGGCACTAAGTGTGGCCACTCACGGGGCTCTAAGTTCCATGGAGTTAGGGAACTCAGTCTCTGGCTTGCTGCTCATGCCAGGCCTGAGCCCCAGCTGCTATCAATACTTGGCTCATTATAGAAAAGTTTTAAATCTTGGAATACCACGTCACATGGAGGTGACTTCAAGGTCAAGGAAACTCAGGTCCTTTGTGGGACACCTTGGACCTGGACCTCATAGATGTAGGGACACGCAGCATGCCAAACTGGATTGCCAGGGAAAATGAACATGATTTTTTTTTTTGGATTTTTTTTTTTGTACTGGGTAGTAGTGGGGATGCTAAGGTCATTCATCCTCTGCATAAAACTGTCTTGGGCCTGGTTCTAGCCACAAAATGCCAATGGCACCTGAAGCCCCAGATGTCACCTAAATATATGAAACACTCTCCCACCCCAGTTATCAGTTCTTGGCTCAGGGCTCTTACACTGTGAGTACATGACCCCGCTGGGGGCTTCTTCACCAGAGCCAAGCACCCTGTACCTGTCTCACACTGTGAGTACATGACCCCGCTGGGGGCTTCTTCACCAGAGCCAAGCACCCTGTGCCTGTCAGCTGCTTACCTGCTTACAGTAAGGAAGACAGTGGGGCTCTGAGTCACGGTAACCCCGATATACCTTTCATTTAGAAACAAGAAGAGGCTGGGTAAGTTGCCTCCTTCCCTTGCTTTCTGAAAGAGAGACAACACTGACCACTTTCCTCTTGTTCTTCAGCTCTTCCTAGCCTTCCAGTACCAGCATGGTCCCTCCCTAAGAGCTGGCCAGATCTGGCTCACCCAGGTCTCTGAGGAGCCTAGCTAATTCTTAGGCAATAAACATAGCCTGGAGGAAGTAGCTACCGGAAACCCTTCCTTTTTAGGACACCTCTTGGGAGGAGCTGAGGGAGGGTATTTCATAAACCGAGTTGCATATCTCTGCCCGCACCTAGCTGGAACTTTGCAACTTGCCTGCAGCCTGGTCACAGAGAGGATGTGAGGAAAGGAATTAGGATGGGGCTGCTGGGTGGTACGCATAGGGAGAGGCCCTCAGGATGGATGTGACTGTGGGTGGAAGCTGGGGATTAGGAAGGAAAAGCTGAGTGGACAGGAGGCGCAGATGCCTGTTCCTCAGGGAAGCCATGTGGAGGGCTGCCAGTGGGGAAGATTGGGTGACTGAGCCATGTCCAGGACATGTGAGAGCCCCAGGGATATGATTGGGGGGTTTGCTATTAACTGGCTCCAACTCTCAAGGTCTTGTCTGTGTACCCCCTTCTCCTAGGACGAACAGTTCCCACACTATGAAGACCGGTGTGCTCCTCCTGCTGGTGAGCCTACTGTGTGCAGAGAACGGTGAGATGAAAAAGGGCCTCAGAGTTGAGGGTACCCTGGCATTTTCATTGTGTGCCCAGTGCCTGAGGTGTACTGGAGTCATGGGGGTGCCCTGTGTGGGTTGGTTGGTGGTGGGTGAACTCTCATGTGCTGGGGTGGCTTCCTGGGCCTCTAAACTGCCAGTTAGTAGGAGTGTGGGGCTCTGTCAGTGAGCTGCAGCCCCACACTCCTCAGGACCCATCGCCTCAGAATAAGTGCACCCTCCATCCCTCTCTCATTTCTTTCTTGAGGCCCAAGCAAACCCTGGCCACCAAGGGCCCCTGTCCTCAGAGTACCCTGCTGCCCTTGCTTCCCAGCCAGCCTGTGTGTATGCAAGCTGGCAGAGGCTTCTTTTCCTGGCCCAACTGCCAAGTCAAGGAGTTTTAGGCACCTTCAACTTTTGGCATTCCTTACATTATTACATTTGACCCTGTTGTATCCTCTAAGCCAGCCACATGAAGCCCCCAGTGCTAGAACTTCTTTAAGAGCCCTCAGAAATCTCCATACTTGCAGTTACACCTGTATAAGGGGAGGTCTCATGGTGAACCCTGACTTTGCACCTGTCTTCTGGAAAGTCCAGTGCCCTGTTATACAACAGGTCAGAACAGTCTTCCCCATCAGGAGGCCCTTGTATGCCCCGGTACCTACTCCCTCATCCACTCACCATCTCAGCAGACAGGAGGTACCCAAATCCTCCTGCGATGAGGACTGTTTCTCTATTACCTCTTGGGGTCCAGGTCTGTCCTGAGGCTGGCTGCCTGCGACAGCAATACCCAGCCTATCTGAAGAGCTGTGGCTCTTGCTTCACGCCTGTTTTTGGTGGAGGTGACTGAGGAGGGGTGTCCCTGCTCGGTCCTATATATAGCCCAGCAGCTGTGAGGAAGTAAAGCCAGGTGCAGAGCAGGGGTCAAGTCTAGGAAGAACATGCCCTGACCCTCATGTATTGGCCTGTTTCTCAGCTCAGGGGTTGCGCTGCTACCAGTGCATGGGGGCCGCCAAACCTGAGACTTGCCAACCAGACACCTGCTCCTACACTAACGGCGTCTGCGTTACTCAGGAGATGGAATCCACTGTGGGTGAGTTCCCCGTGGCCTGTATGAAGTTGTATAGCGGGGTGGGGCTTGGGAGGAAAGTTTCAAGCACTTGTGGGCTACAGTTGTTTGTGGGCCAGTTCCCCTCCCTCCAAGCAGGGGCCTCCTGGGGTTGGAGTGGGGCTCCTGTAGGGGCAGCAGGCTGTGGGGTGTGCCCTGGGGTCCAGGTATGTGCTGGGAGGTAGATTCTTGAGCAGGGTTGCCCCTATGGCATGCATGGATATCATCATTTCCCCTCCCCCACCCGTACTAGTCATGTGGGGCTTCTGTCCTTACCCTATGTCTAGGGCCCTATGGGCTCCATCAGGACCTGGAGAACTGGGGGCATTTAGTGACTCTTTGCATATAATGAAGGAATCAGAAGATTTAGGCTAAAGGAAAGACTTGGGAGACATTAGGACACAGCAGATTCCCCCACAGAGTCAGTTTCCAGGCTTACCCTCCAGATAGACAAAGCAGGAGTAGCCTCAACCTGCTATCCGGTTTCCTGCTCCTTCCCACAGCCTGGCTGTCTCCTGGAGTAGGTCTCCTAGATACAACTTCCTGGGGAACAGCTCTTCCTGGCTGCCCTTTGTGCTAAACCACCGTGTGGGTGATCTTGCACTGTGCCATGTCGTGTGTGTGTGTGTGTGTGTGTTTGCCTATGAGTGTGGGCACACACGTGTGCACATATGGCGAGGACAGAGGAAAACCTTAAGTATCATTCCTCAGGTACTGTCTAGTTTTAAGCTTTATTTGTTTCATTTCGTGCAAAGGAATGTTTGATGGGTTCCCTGGAACTGGTGTTATGGATGGTTGTGAACTACCATGTGGGACCTGGGATTTGCCCCCCGCCCCAGGCTAGTGGGGCTGGTGAAAGCTCCCGCTCCACCTCTCCAGCACAGAAATTAGATGCCGTACTCCCACGCTTGGCTTTTGCATGTGTGCTGAGGATGGACCACAGGTCCTCATGCTTCTGTGTGGCAAACACTTTACTGACTGAGCTGTTTTCCCAGCACATGGCGTGTAAGTGCTTGTGTGTAGACAAGTGTGGTTGCATGTGCACTAGGGGCACAAGTGTGTGGAGCCCAGAGGTTGACACTGGGCATCTTCCTTGACGACTGTTTTATTTACTGAGGCAGGGTCTCCCACTGAACCCCAAGCTTGCAGATTCAGCTAGTCTAGTCAGTGAATGTACCTCAGGATTCCCCGTGTCTGCCTCAGGAGCACTAAGACTACAAGTAGGCTACCATGCCTGCCTGTCTTTGACATGGGTCCTGATGATTGAAATTCCAGCCTCATGCTTGCTCTAGAACTTGCCATGTAGCCCGGGATGGATCTGAACTCATAACAATCCTCCTGCCTTAGTTTTCCAAGTTCTGGGATTACGAGTGTGAGCCACCATGTCCAACTTCAGTGTGCCTTAGAGGCAAGGCTGGGCCATCCAGACCTGGTGGCAAGTGCCCCAGACTTTGGGGTGCTGAGTTGTTCCTGCATACCCTGTGAGGTCACTCCCTGATGTCTTACAGGATCTTACAAAGTGACATTAATAAACAAGTTGTGCCATCCCACCTGCCCCAATAAGGAGTTTTCTGGAATTCTGGAAGACCTGGGCATCCCCATCAACTCCAAGATTTCCTGCTGTAACACAGACCTCTGCAATGAGGCAGGTGCTACTGGGGGCAGCATCTGGACCCTGGCAGGGGTGCTTCTGTTTAGCCTGGGGTCGGTCCTCCTGCAGGCCTGGTTGTGATGCCACTCCGGCCCTCATCTTCCTATCTCCTCCTTCCTGGAGCCCTCTCATGATGGATTATGAGTTATAAAAAACCCTGAAGTGGGGTTAGGGTGTGGTCCACTCTGCTTCAACTTTATAGCCCCCATCACCACGTCCTTCAGAATGCCGTTCTGCTGTGGCTTGCTCTTCTCGGTTCTGGAGGCATGTGGACAGTACCGGGAAGGGGAAGGATTCCAAGGTATTGTGCCCACGCTGTTTACACATGAATCTCTGGGCGCCTGTGGGTTTCCCCTACATGCTGCTCAAAGTTGAGTTCAATAAACCCTTTGTCTTCCTAGCCAAGAACTTCACTTTTCTTTTGCTACCCTGGGTCCACTGAGGCCTGACTGCTGACCCACATCTCTGCCCTTTCAGCCAGCCCCATAGCTATCTTATGTTACCCAGATCGGAGTGGTGTATCCCTTGGTTTGGGTGGGCCTTCCCTCAGAGCTGATACTGGGGACGCCCAAGAGCCCTTGATTGTGTTGGCGGAAGGGATCAGCCAAGGAGGCGAGCCCTCAATGGTGGATAGGTCTTGCCCTGCCAGATTCTTTTTTTTTTTTAATTTATTATGTATACAGTGCTCCACCTACATGCCAGAAGAGGGCGCCAGATCTCATTACAGATAATTGTGATCCACTATGTGGTTGCTGGGAATTGAACTCAGGACTTCTGGGAGAACCTCTGAGCCATCTCTCCAGCCCCTCTCCGTAGTTTTAGAGCCTGTCCTGGAACTCATACTGTAGACCAGGCTGGCCTGAAATTCACAGAGATCCACTTGTCTCTGCCTCCCTGAGTGCTGGGATTAAAGGTGTGAGCTGCTACCACCTGGCTCATATTCTTTTTTTTTTTAATATTTATTTATTTATTATGTATACAGTAGTCTGTCTGTGTGTATGTCTATGGGCCAGAAGAGGGCACCAGACCTCATTCCAGATGGTTGTGAGCCACCATGTGGTTGCTGGGAATTGAACTCAGGACCTTTGGAAGAGCAGGCAATGCTCTTAACCACTGAGCCATCTCTCCAGCCCCCCCCCCCCGGCTCAGATTCTTTAAATCCAGAGCTGGACACCATTTACTGCAGGGGCTCATGGCCTGACTCAGAGCAACCAGTTTCTCACCCTGCCTCTCCTGGGGTCCCAGTCCATACTGGATGTCACCACTGGGAAGGGACGACCAGTAATCCATCATTGCTCTTTTTGTCCTCGGGGGGTCACTGCCCCAGAGATGACCAGAGCCCATATGGTCAACGCCATGGGGTCCTCATGGAATATGGGCAGCACCCTGGATATTTGGGTGCTATGAACATTACTCCACACCCTGGAAGGTCCTGAAGATCTGAGATTTTGTCAAGGTGAAGATATTCTAAGGTAGAGTTATTACCCAACCAGGGAAGCCCTTGTCCTTGCAACCTCCTGCCCTGGACAAGTATAGATCCAGGAATGTGGCCCAGGTGTTGGTTGGGACTTGAAACTTGAATAAGGATTCTGGAATGATCTTTCATATTGGGCCTTGCTTCTGTTGCAGTCCTCTGATGATGTGGGAGTGTCATATATCAATCTGTTGATTTTATTGGTTAAGCAATAAAGAAACTGCTTGGCCCTGATAGGTTAAAACATAGGTGGGAGGAGTAAACAGAACAGAATACTGGGAGGAAGAGGAAGTGAGCTCAGAGAGACGCCATGCTCCCCTCTCCCTGGCGGATGCGAGAGCTCTGCTCTCTGAGGCACACGTGATGAAGCTCCGACCCAGGATGGACGTAGGCTAGAATCTTTCCCGGTAAGACTGATGCTACACAGATTATTAGAAATGGGCTAGTCCAGGTGCAAGAGTTAGCTGAGAAGAGGATAGATATAATGGGCCAAGCAGTGTTTAAATAAATACAATTTGTGTGTTGTTATTTCGGGGCATAAGCTAGCCAGGTGGCCGGGGTGCTGGGGACGCAGCCCTGCCACTCCTATTACTACACTCTGACCTCTGCCTCCAAAGTGTTAGGGTTATAGATGTGTAATACCTCCCTGGCCATTCTGTGTGTTTTAGAAGTGTGAACTGTGCACTTAAAACAAAAACAAACAAACGAACAAAAAAAACTGTGATGCTTCTGGGGGGGGGTCGTTTATTTGTGAGTTTTTTTGGTTTTGTTTGTTTGTTTGTTTGTGTGTTTTGTTTTGTGACAGGAACTCACTAGTAGACCAGGTTGGCTTCAATCTCAAAGAGATCAGCCTGCCTCAGTTACTTGAATACTGTGATTAAAGATGTGATCCAACCACTCCACACGCCTTTAACTCCAGCACTCAGGAAGCAGAGGCAGGCGAAGCTCTGTGAGTTTGAAGCCAGCCTGGTCTACAGCACAAGTTCCAGGACAGGCTCTAACGCTACATGGAGAAACCCTGTCTTGAACAATCAAGTAAATAAATAAATAAACAAACAAACAAATAAATGCTGTCATGCAGTTGAGTGCGGCCTATCCAATCAAAACAAGGGAATGTGTCAGAGTTCTTCAAGAAGTAGAGTCATCTATGTGTCTGTGAAGTCCTGCCTTAGCGTGTGCACACACACACACACACACACACACACCACACTTCTTGGTATGCATGCTTTTGGGTTCAAATGTTTGTCTGCTTGCATGTATGTACACCCTGTGCATGCATGGGGGTGTCTGAGGCGGTCAGAAGAGGCCATTGGATCACCTGAAAATGGTGAGTTATCTGTGAGTTGCCATGTGGGCGCTGGGCCCTGAACCCAGGTCCTCTGCGAGGGCGCCCAGTGCTTTTAACTGCAGAGCTCTTGCTTCCCAGTTGATGAGAGGTTTCAACCTGACTCCTGGGTTGGGGCTCCTTTCCTTCACCAAGTCCCCATAGTTGTCCCTATTCTTTTGTCTTGCCTCACTGGGAGGAAGTTATTGTTGTCATGTCCCATGTGATGACTTCTGGTCCAGAGGCAGCCTTGGCAGCAGAGATCGCTGTCCTCATTTGGAGTGGGTTCAGATCCTTGAAATAATGATGGTGATGGACCAGTGCTGGTGTTCCTCAGATCCAAGGAGTCTAGGGTTAGGACTATGATAGCTGGTCTTGGTTGTCAACTTGACTACATCTGAAATCAACCAAAACCCACGGAGCTGGGAATACATGGGAGGATTTCTTGATGGATTGGAAACTACCAGCTTCTTGGACTTTCCCTTGGGAGACAGCCACTGTTGAACTAGCCAAGCCACAGGCTGCAGGCTACTCTAATAAACTGCATCCATATGTTCATGTCATCAGCTCTGTTCCTCTAGAGAACCTTGGCAAATACATTGTATCTCCAAGTAGGGCCAGACAAAGTTACATTGTGGGGTATTCACCAGAGAAGACTGCTAGGACATAGTTTAAGCCAATCTAAAGTCTTTATTAACCAGCCAGCAACTACGCTGAGTGTTCAGGATCCCACTGTAGTACTGAGCCTTCCTCAGGATAAGCTTTTAAGATGTTCTGGGTTGACACACTTCAGTTAATAAGATCAATTAGCCAGAAGTGGACCTACAGAAGCCAAAAACCCAGCTTAAGGACTTTCACAGAAGTGTGGACTTTGACAAGTTAGGGCTTTGTTTTAGTTTTGGCAGGCGGGGCTGTCTATATCTCTTTACAGCCTGAATGGTATGGTCATCATGGAATCAGTGTAAGGGTGCTTAGGTCTGGGGCCCTGTTACAGTTTCCCTGAGCAAGCCTTGCTGTGGTCTGTTTCAGGGCTTCCCAACACCACTGTAAGGAGATCCACTCTTCAGTGAGTAACTCAGACTCTCAGAAGGGTGGCACCCTAATAAGCTACATCTGCAGTCCTGAGAGGAGACGGTCCTCACTCCTTAGCAAGACCAGATGTGAGCTCCACACCTGCCTATCCCTAAAAGGCCAACACAACCAGGGCATGGTGACATTCAGATACCACCCGACTGCTTGAGCAGAATTCTATACCCTGCAGAAGCAGCCCCTGGAATGCCTCTGCACAGCGTTGTCTCTTCACCATTCAGCCTACGGCGCCTGTGCCAGGGTCTCTAATACACCCTTTACTTCTTCCTTTTTGCCTTGGTGAATTTGTTCATGAACCGCATGTCATCAGCCTGTCAATACCTTTCCTGTCATAGCAGGGACAAACATAGATCTCTGTTCCCTCCTGTGGTAGTCTAAATGTACCTGGTCCCCATAATCTCATAGGGGACCGCACTATTAGAAAGTGTGGCCTTGTTGGAGTGGATATGGTCTTGTTGAAAGAAGTGTGTTACTGTGGGGGCAGTGTATTCAGGCATCTGTACTGGCCTGACCTTGGGGTATATGTCCTCAGCTGTAGCCATTAAGAGCACCTGACCTGTGCGCATTCACTATGTTCCCTTTTAAAAGGGTCTCTGTCTCCATCTGTCTGTCTGTCCCTCTCTGTCTCTGTCTTTCTCTCTCATCTCTCCTCTCCTACTACTCCTGTCCTCAGAGACTGGTCTCCCTTCTCCCCTCCCCTCTTTTTCCATTCATTCCCCCCCCATTAAAAAACAAACAAACAACCCCTCCACCTGAGCTTTGTCACAAGGCGTCTTTCTCTCTTGTGCCATTTTTTCTAAATTGCAACAGGCAGGCTTTGAGATTGCCTATGATCAGGACACCACCAAGTGTGTCAGTTAACTTCCTGTTGCCTGCAAGATGCAGGACTTGCAGTTACTCCAGCACCACAGCTGTCTGCATGCCGTCAGCGCCCCATCGTGATGATAATGGACTGAACCTCTGAAACTGTAAGCAAACCACTCCAATAGCATGTTTTCCTTTGTAAGAGTTGCTATGTTCTAGGTGTCTCTTCACAGCCATAAAACCCCTAACTAAGACACGGCCCATCCTACCCAAGGTTCTCAGGTGGGGGCTGCTGCTTGGAGAGCTGTGGCCTGCTCAGCTCCTAATCCTGGAATGTCTAATTCTGGTTCACCACAAAACAGGAACTCCTCCCCAGGGCCTGAGGCTGTATGCAGCAGTACTTAGAATATCACTGCTCAAGGGCTATGTCCTCTTGCTGTAGGCGTCTACTGTCTCTCTTATGCAGCAACTTGGAGGGCGCCTGTGGTGGTTTGAAAGAAAATGGACCCCAAAGGGAGTGGCACTATTAGGGGGATTTGATGCGGCCTTGTTGGAGGAAGTGTGTTACTGTGGAGGTGATCTTTGAGGTCTCATATATGCTCAAGCTACGCCCAGTGAGACAGACCACTTCCTGTTGCCTGCGTATCAAGACTCTCAGCTCCAGTACCTTGTCTGCCTGCAAGCCACCCTAAATGGAGGCCT